TTAGATCTTGGAGATTATACAGGTTGACAGAATAGTTCAGGAGATTAATGACTTTCTTAAATAGACAACTGACAAACTCTAAACTACAACCATCAGATTCTCTGATGTTTGGGCAACAAAATACTCTGACTTCAGTAGCAATTGGAACCTCATGGTCATTCTTAGGGAATATACCGGGGGTATCGTTTGTACTGGCAGACTCAACACTCACTTACCTACCCAATGTTACTAACATTTACTTTTATCCTCTTCGCCACTGATCGGCTTGTTAGCCGCAGGCGATCGGTCACGCTCTTTCATTTATCTTCACCAAAAGAGTGGCTCGCTAGCTGCCAGGGCGATCGGTCACGTCTCTGTCACGCACTGTTGGCAAATACTGTGCATGCACCGGCTCCTGAATGTACCTAAACCCGCTCCAGTGTTGGTCAAGTCTTGTCTTGAAAGAGCTCACACTCGGTGCCGTCACAACACTCTTTGGTGTGTTCCAAGAGTTTACAACCCTCACTCCGAAAAAATTTGCCCTCACGGTTTTCTGGACTTGCGGCTTCTTCAATCTTGAGCTGTGACCCCTTGTGGGGCAAGCGTCCGCCAGCTCAAGTAAGGACACTCAACTGAGTAGTGCCCCTGAGATGCTTGTACACCTCAACTAGGTCCCCTTGCCCGTCTGTAGTATAAGCTAGGCAAGTTCAGGCGCTCCCAATCTCAGGGTAGCTGAGGTGCCGAAGTGCAGGCACCAGTCTGGTGGCCCTCCTTTGAACATTTTCAACCAACTGACAGTCCCTAGCATATCTTGGTGACCAGATGGGGTGACAGTACTCCAGATGGGGAAGCACATCACTCCTGAAGATCGTTACGAGGGATGGACCATCTAGATATCTGAATGACCTTCTTATAAGACCCAATAATTTATTTGCTTGATTTACCTTCTTCTCACAATGGCCCGAGAACTTCAGCTCATTGTCAACATACATACCTAGGTCCTTCTCACATACAGTCTCAACTAGTGCAGTTTCTTCATCCCGTTGGGACATATGATACGCCTCCTTACCGTTGAGTCTTGGCGCTTCCTCTTACACTTCGTGACATTGAATCTCAGCAGCCATTTCTGACCATTCCTGGAGCCCACAGATGTCCTTCTGCAGCTCTTCACAGTCCACTTGGTTCTTAATTTTCCGGAAATAACTTGGCGTCATCGGCAAACATTTGTATGGAGGAGTGTACAACGTCAGGCATGTCATTTATGAAACAAACAAACAACAGCAGGCCCAATACACTGCCCTGTGGTACCCCAATTGTTACAGGTACAGATGACGATTTCGTGCCATTAATCACCACACACTGCTTGGTCATGTAGAAAGTCTTCTATCCACGCTAGGCCTTTCCCGAATTACGTACCCTTCCAGTTTGATTTTCAGCCGTTAGTGGGTACATTGTCAGCCTTGGCAAAATCTAGGTAAATATTGTCGATATTACCACCTGTTCCAGAATATGGGTCCAAATATCCAATACCTTGAGCAATTGTGTTAAGCAAGAGCGCCCCGGCATAAAACCGTGTTGGCAATCTTTTACAAGGTTGTTTCGTATTAGATGTTCCACTGCGGATCTCTGATAATACTTTCAAGTACTTTACATATTATGCTGGTCAGGCTCACCGGTCTATAGTTGTTCGTGGAGTGACGATCGCCCTTCTTGAAGATAGGACTTACATAAGCCACTTTCCATTCACTGGGGACCATTTGTTCATCCAGGCATTTACAAAACAGGATCTTCAGGGGCTCTGCAAGCTCGTTGCACAACTCTCTTAGCACTCTAGGATGCACCATGTCAGTTAAAGCGTTCAACATCACTCACGAAGGACCTTGTATGCTTTAACTGTAATCAAACATATCTAATTTGACTCAAAACAAGGGTGTTCTCTCTAACATTCAAATTCATTTTACAGAGAGGTTGATTTCAGTAAGTTAGAGAAAATGGGATAACGGAGGACTGAGGCGTCTTGAAGCAATGAGAAAACGAACTCCTCAGATGGAGAACTCAAACGAAGGCAGAGTTACATGTTTTGTGGGCTATTGAGCGTAACATGAATCGTCTGATTTTGGCGTTAACTGACGTGTATGACTGTGGTCATTACAGTGCTCTCCCAATCTGGAGTACTGTCACCTTGTCTGGTCTCCGAGATATGCTAGGGACTCAGTTGGTTGAAAATGTTCAAAGGCATGATCTGGCTCCTGAATGTATCAGAACCTGCTCCAGTGTTGGTCAAGTGTAGCCTTGAAACACTGGAGTAAGTTCCGATATATTCAGGAGTGACCAAGATGATTCTGGAACTATGTCATCTCGATTATTTTATCCATGTAGACTGCTGATCGAGGGCCTCAAAACAACTCTTCAGATAAGACACAATAGGGCAACCTCATCGAAACATTCAAGTCTTGAGAGAGATGGAAAATGAGAACCCAAGCAGTTTTTTCGTGATGTCACGCACCACCAACATGGAGGGACATCATGCAGGACGAGTAAATAAATACAGTCCTTCACACAGAGGGTGGTAGACCTATTGGAGCAGTTTACGGCTGTAAAATATTTTTACATTAGTTACACCTTTACTATTCTAATTCATAGAAAACGAAATAGCACCATCGATTTTAAATCTTATTTAGGTACTAACTGCGAAGATATTGGAAGCATAATGTGTTGTCTAATGGTAGACCCTTCTGCCATATGGCAACACCAAAATTGTTACTGATCTGAATTTCTGCCTCATTTACACACAATTGCAGGGTCTCAATTGTTTCTCTTACTTTGACAACACAACATATAGACAGTACTGTACTTTGTTTCTCACTCTTGATCTATTTTTTTTCATTTTTGTATGTCTTTATTGTTATTATTATTATTATTTTTTTATAAATTTGATTTGTGAATTATTATTATATTATTACATTTTCGTCCCCCAGACCCCGATGTGGGTCAGTAGAGACCTGTGCCCGGGTGGGCTAATCCCAATAAACTAAAATTAAGAATTTGTATTTTTATTTTTTTTTTACTTTTATCCTTTTCGCCACTGATCGGCTTGTTAGCCGCTTGGGCGATCGGTCACGTCTCTGATTACTCTTCCTTTTCATTTATCTTCACTAAAAGATCGGCTCGCTAGCCGCCCGGGCGATCGGTCACGTCTCTGTCACGCACTGTTGGCAAATACTGGGCGTGCACCGGCTCCTGAATGTACCTGAACCCGCTCAAGTGCTGGCCAAGTCTTGTCTTGAAAGAGCTCACACTCGGTGCCGTCACAACACTCTCTGGTAGATTGTTCCAAGAGTTTACAACCCTCACCCCGAAAAAGTTTGCCCTCACGGTTTTCTGGACTTGCGGTTAGGTTAGTCTTGTGGTAGAGTAGGTGGCGGTGGTGAAGGTGGCAGTTAGTCTTGTGGTAGAGTAGGTGGCGGTGGTGAAGGTGGCAGTTAGTCTTGTGGTAGAGTAGGTGGTGGTGATATGAGATGGTAGTACTATTGTGATAGAATGGGTGATGGTGGTAGTGTAGTATTCAGTGTTGTGGTAGAGGACGTGGGTGGTGGTAGTGAAGTCGTAAGTATTATATCATAGTGGTAGAGCGGGTGGTGGACTGGTGGTTAGTATCCTAGACCTTAAGTGATACAACAGGTGTCCCTGTCTCGGAATTTGCCTGGTGGCTGGTATTGTACATTGTTCGAATATTTGCTTCAGACTAACATGGCCTCACTCACGGTATTAGATCAGTGGTGAAGAGGATAAACGTATTGTAAATAAATGCAACATGAAAGCTAAACATGACGGCTGAGAAGTACATGAACAGAGTTGTAAGAGAAAAAGTACATATAATAAGTTTGTAAAATTCCGGGTTGCCCAGACGCATATGGGTTAGAGTTAGATTCAAAAGGGGTTTGTGTTAGAAGCCCCAGAGAGGCTTGTCTTATACACGTCAAATTCAAGGGCTGAAACACCCATTCATAACTTAAGTAAACAAATACATAATTGTCGAGTAAAACAAAATCTTAGAAGGTTTGGGACACCGCAATGAAAGTGGAACGTATGCAAATGTCTACAGAGAAAATAATAAGTATTGTAATGGGTTTCGACCACTGTTTTATTAGTATGGCCTATACATTTATTGTTTGCGCGTTTTCAGAAAATGTGTAACAATATAAGAATTTTAGCTTAAGTTATATCGTTTATGTAATGTGGCTGAGTGATTAAAAATCCGGGTTAACTTATTCGAAGTTTCACCCGCAAGTTAACCTAGTCTAACCCAAAACCACCCCTACGCTGATACTAGAGCGGGAGTACGTAAATGTCTAGAACAATCGAGCAGTTTCCAGAAGTAGGCACAAATCATTCTACAAATATCACAGGGCAGACGCTGCAATGGCTGCTCCTACGCAGTTTAGGGTATACCTACGTGGCAGTGGCACGGGGAGGCACTCCTACCGATACCCTTCCACTTTCCTCGAGTTTTGTAATTCAATTCCGAATCCCAGCAGAAAAAAGAAATAAATTCCGACAGGGATGTAATAATGTAACTTTACAATCCAAATTTTTATTTCGTTTAGTCTGAGGTGCAAAGACTGGTTAATAATTAACGAAAAACCTAAATGGAAATTGGCAACTATTACTTGTCTGGCTTTTCCATTACACCCAAAAATGAGCGACGTCCGTGTAGGATAATCAAGAAGTTTCACAACTTCTTCAAGTGTTTAAGTTACACCTGAATCATGGAATTTTGTTATAATGCTTATAAACGGATATTTAGAGTAAATAATGTCATTACCGGTATAAAGATGCCAGCTTCCATAAATTTTATAAGTTTGTTCTTTCACTATACGTTCATTTTAATTATTCCATAATGACAAAAAAGAATCAGAAAATACGCTCCCTTTTCAAATATTACTGAGATTAATATTACGTTGATATATAAGTTATAGAACATGAATGTGGCGAGTCGTGGCAGATGCAGCGCTGGGCATCTGTCGTCTGTGGGCGAGAGCAGGGCGTGGGGTGAATGAGGGTGCCGACTGTCTACTGCCATCACACCCGGAGTCCCGGACCATGACACGCCCTTCCTCGCCTCAGTTACTAACACAAAATTGGCAAGTATTGTACGACAAATCACAGCAACAATACTAGATAAAGACAGTGGAGTTGCTGGACAAGAACGTCAACAACATACATAACAAGCCATCAAAGAAGTCGTTCACCCTGGCCATAAACAGGCTTAGATCATCACTTAAAAATATGTGGGGCAGAGTGAAGTATCCTTTGGGTGTGCTCCTGCTGATGGTGAGCATCACCTCCGGGCTTGAGGAGAACACATCCGGGCTTGAGGAGAACACATCCGGGCTTGAGGAGAACACATCCGGGCTTGAAGAGACCACCTCCAGGATTGAGGAGACCACCTCCAGGATTGAGGAGACCACCTCCAGGATTGAGGAGGCCACCTTAGGGATTGAGAAGATCAAGCCAGGACACGCAGTGATGACTTACGATTTCCTGTACAAAGAGGGAGTCAGCGCCTACCTGGCCGAGGAGTGGGAGAAATGTATCCGCTACTTCGAGCTGTCTCTGGCAGACTGGCACTGGTGGAAAGACAATGTTGCAAGGTTTGTAATCTTCAAATTTTCTTTGATGTAAAATAGTTTTAAGATGTTTAGTAGTTCATAATTTGCTAAATATTTTGGTAGATGTGTCTTTCAGGCATAGTTCTTAATTTGGGTCTTATTGAAAGAAAGTTTGGTAATCCTGGAGCAGATGATAAACACCAGAATGCATTGTTCCACTTCGTTCATTTTTCCACAGCAGTCTTTGGATTTTAGTAAGTAATAAAAATGATATGACAATGCACAGAACCAATTAGAACCTGACTTAACCAAACAAAGAAGTCTACCTAACTTCTTGGCTGGGTGGTTCTGCCCCCAGGACCCTCCCACCATATTGGCTAATATTGATGACTAGACCACCGATGCACTATTTGTTTTGATGTTTGCAATACCTGTATAGTCGTCAATATTAGCCAGTTATGTTAGTTTTAGGTTAGGCTGAACTTTAAATAAACACTTTTTTACACATTTACTATAACTATGACAGTGACTTCTATAAAACACAGTGAAATTGCGGCGTTTATGAGAAATCAGCGGCTGGAAAATCATCACTAATTACCACCATATTAAACATAAAGTACTTATTTAATATCTAGTACCAATGAAAGTAAAATTTTATTTTCAGTCATCTCTGTATTTAGATATCCAGCATGACCTAACCTAATGTAACCTAACCAAGCCATAGAACCTACGAACTATATGTAACCTGACTCCCCCTCCTTCTGGTGGTGGTTAAATTTCTAAGATTCCCCTTTTGACCGAAATTAAAATAATACGCCCCCCCCCCTCCTTCTGGTGGTGGTTAAATTTCTAAGATTCCCCTTTTGACCGAAATTAAAATAATACCCCAATGAAAGTAACTTTCTTGATGAGCCATGGTTTAATTAAATGTTTTTTGTGGACGTGATAGTACGCTCAGACTGAGCAGGTAGGTTGAAAATAAACAGTGCAGACAGGAGCATGTGATGACAACGGCAGATTTTTGGAGGAATATATTTATGGTAAATCATTTCAGCATGTACAAAGCATGTAGAGACATCATTTTAGTGTCAAATGATCAATATTTCACCGTGTTTTACCCCACAAATTGCATCAGCTTTTATACCTTGTCCACTACAGCTGATTAATGATTGTAGATAGAGAAAAACTAACAAAAGTATTTAAAATTCAAATAAAAAGTTGTCATTTTTATTACCACTATCATTCAAAGAACATTTGTAAAAACAAAAAAAAAATTAAGTAAATCAAACAGCTCCTTCAGATGTTAGCCATCTGCTCTTGTATTACTGAAAGTTAATTTAGTTTTAGAGTTTTGTACAAATATGTATGGGGAAGAAGATATGCTGGGTAAATATACAGTGGATATTTTACATAAGAAAATAAGGAGTCTGCAATAGGCCGGTTGGCCTGTGCATGGCAGCTCCTGTCGAGAGTTACTGCCACTCTCTATCATCCATGAATCTATCTAGCCTCCTTTTGAAACTTTCCAGCATTCCAGCACTTACTACAAAGTTGCTAAGCTTGCTCCATTCGTCCACCACCCTATTTGTGAATCAGTTCCTTCCTATCTCCCTCCTAAACCTAAACTTATCCAACTTAAATCCGTTGCTACGAGTCCTGTCCTGCTCGGATATTATAAGAACTTTATCTATATCTCCTTTATCGATTCTTTCATCCTCTTAAATACTTCTATCATATCTCCCCGCACTCTTCGTCTTTCTAGGGAATGCAAGTTTAGTTTCTTTAACCTATCTTGATATGGAAGGTTTCTAAGTCTCGGAATCATTTTCGTCATTCTTCGCTGCACCGACTCCAGTGAATTGATATCCATTCTATAATAAGGGCACTAGAACTGAACCGCATAATCGAGGTGAGGCCTGACTAGCGCAAGATATAGTTGCAATAAGACCTCTGCACGCTTATTACTTATGCTTCTAATACTCTGTTTGCCTTTATTTCGAACATTAACACACTGTTTTCTAGGCTGTAGGTCCGGGCTTACAAGTACCCCTAAGTCTCTTTCACAAGCCGACTTCTCTAGGTTGATGTTGTTAAGGCTGTATACATTGACAGTATTTGTTCTTCCAATATTAAGTACGCTGCACTTGCTGGTGTTGAATTTCATTTGCCATTTTTCTGACCACCTGCAGTTTATTTAAATCCTCCTGGAGTGCATTTGCATCCTGCCCTGAATTAATCTGCCGCCCTATTTTGGTGTCATCCGCAAACTTGCTTATGCCACTGCTGATCCCAGTATCTAGATTGTTTATGTAGATTATGAACAACAGTGGGCCCAGTACTGACCCGTGGGGAACCCCACTGGTTACACAGCCCCATTCAGATTTAACACCATCTACGCTGACCCTCTGTGTTCTATCTGTGAGCCATGATTTTATCCAATTTAAAACTTTCCCCTCAATACCATGAGCCTAAACTTTTCTCAGAAGCCTCTGATGCGGTACTCTGTCAAACGCTTAATATAGATTGGCTACTTTGTTGTGAAGTTCTTTTATAACTAACTCGACCATACCCAACCCTAACATATTATAATATATTCTAATTAAAAGAAATTGAGTTGATTAGGTTTGGATTGGTCAGTTCATTTTGTTTTTAAAAGAAATTCATGGCAAAATAGGATGTACATATTGATATCAGCATGTTGGAAATATGGGGATCTGCTGGAGAGGGTGAAGAGGGTAGTTGTTGCCCCTGGATCAAGAGAAAAGGTGTCTGGTTGAATCGAGATTAATGCAGTAATTTTTTTGAGGTCACACAGGTAGGTGCAGTATTTGAGGTCTGGGTAGGTTAGGTCAGAGGTAAGATTCCCAATCGTAGGCTCAGTGGTTTGACAATGCTGGTTAAGTTAGATCAGGTCATACTGTATAGAGCAGACCATTCACCCAGTTACTTTAATTTGGTATAAGATGCCATCGTGACACTAACCACTTTTGTTTTGGATACAGTCATTTGCTCTGTTGGAATACATAAGGTAAGAAAACTTTGGTATTTGTTTAAAAGATGCTGACGTGATTTTGTCGTGGCACCATGATTTTATATAAAGTTTTGTGTCACAGCTCTGTAATTTTACACCAAGATAGTGCAGTAACTTTATACTGTGAATTTAGTTCTCTTCTCAATTTTGTTTTCATTTTTATTTTATGGTGATTTTAGATTTAACTCTAGAAAAATAGTTTCACAGGTAAGTTCTGTATCACATTTGGATGTTATTATTCTTTGGAAAGCCGATTTACTGCTGAAACCAATTAAAATTTTAGCCTGTATTCTCTTCACAAACTACAGAACATATTGCAAGGCTTACAAGAGAAGAACTGATTGCAAAGATCATTAAATTGGTTGGAATTGAAAACTTACAAGGAGAAGCAGCCACCTGGTTTTAAATTTGGTCTTAAAAGGTTTTACTCAATCACACTGATCTGTTTCCTCCTATTAAACAATTATTACCGTATTGCTCTGACATTACCCGTGACAACATGCACAGTGGAGAGATCATTCAGTGCAGTAGAGAAGGGTAAATTTTATCTCCACCAGGTTCTTAACAATAAGTCTCGGGTTAACTCAAAATATGAGTACCTGTACTATCATATTGTGGAGGAATCATACATTGCATTACTTATTAAGGTAATAAAATTAGAGAACGGATATACAAGGACAAGTAAAGGAACAGCCTAAATTAATCTAAACCCTAACCTCAGCCTTACCATACACTTGACCAGTACAAAATTAAACACCACTTATCTCCATATAAATTTATTCTGAGTCCTGACCAACTGTATCACACTTGGACCACACCCTCACACCAGCCAGGCTTGTCTGCACCCCTAGAGTCTACCCCACTGTCTGACCACAACAGTTTCCTTCAAAAATTCTTTTACACTGAAATCTTTCTATTTGTCCTGTCTTCATGCAACTCAAACAAATGGCAGACCTGATACTGATAAATAAAAAAATATATATTTATTAAGAACTAACTAACTGCAGGAAGTGTTTAGGAATGTACATGTCCCATCTGCAATGAAACAGGTAAAAAAAATAAAGTAAATTTTTTGGTGAAGTGTAGTTGGTTAGGTTTATGGAACCTGTCTGTTGGGTGGCTGCTGCCTGGGTAAATAGTCTGCTGTTTGGTAAGATGGAATTCAGTACTGTATTTGAAAAATTTCTGAAATGGGAGTTGTACAGGTACAAGTAGTCTACATTTAACAGTGTTTTGATTGTGTCAAAAAGATATCAGAATATTCACTTTGAAATATAACTGTCAAAAAAGTCTAAAAATGTACAGTATTCTTATTTTTCTAACAGATGCAGAAGAACGTGTAGTAAAGAGAGTGCAAAAAGTGAGCTTTTCTCGGAGAAACTGTCTGAAGATGAGAGGTTTTATGAGCGAGCAGTTCGTAACACTCTCTGTGTAGTGAATTGCAAGAAGAGTGCATTTGGATCACGAATGGATCGGATAATTGAGGGAGTGATGAAAGAAAATTTTGAGTTACGGAAACCATATGACTATCTTCAGTTGTGTTACTTTAAAGTAAGAAATTTATGTTTTATATTACACTAATTTTGTAATTTTTTTTTTTTTAAGAATTACAAATTCTGTTTTCTAAGGCTGTTGAATTTTGATGACAATATTTTAAAAATGGTATTTGGTTCCCCATGGAACACCCTTCATCTCAGAATGAATTCCTGCATATTTGAACTTGTATTTATACATTACTGTGTAAATTTTGAGAAACTTTTAATATATTGTTAAAATCAGTTAGATTTTTGCACCTTTATTGTTAGTTTGATTTATTTTTCATGAGAATTTATTATGAATAAAAACATTGTTATTTATGCTCAGATGGACAAGTTGAAGGAGGCAGCAGATGCAGCAGCCACAGTTTTAGCTGTGGAGCCAAACCACGAGGTCATGAAGACCAACCTCAAGTATTACCTTGCTGAAGGTAATTTTGCTGCTTCAGAGGTTAACAACTTGGAGCTTCAGGTAATAAAAAGTAACCTTTTCTCAGTTGTAAATATACATACAAAATTATTGTACCGATTCTGATGGATAATTTGTAATAAGTTTATATTGTTCAGTTGACTCGAAAAATCAAAATGGATTTATTTTATTACATTATGTAAGAAAACTTTGGGGAGCAAACAGTGAATGTAAGGGTACGTTTTTCTTAGGCAGAAGTCAAGGATTCTTGACTTTATACAGTACAGTATCTTCACTTCAACATCAAAATTTGTTAAGAGTGATCCATCAGAGTTGTGGAGAAACTCAATATTAAGCCAAGGATCCTTGACCCAACTCAATGACTTTCTTGAGAGGCATAAAAGTAAGCCTAATGTGATATTTTACTCCCGTTGTCATTAATGAGAAAACCATTGTTTTTCTTCCATTATACTGTATATGAACACTAATTATTAAAGCAACTTCATGTGCCTTGGTAAACAAGATCATAATAGATTTCTTTCATTGCGGTTAGAGTGAGTGACTTCCGAGTGCGATACATGATGCCGTACTGTTTATTGACTTTACTGTGAATGGCTTGTATGTGGTTTCTCTAGTTAAGTTTCTCATCAACAATATACAGTTGTACCCCACTTAACGCGGTCAATTGAACCCAGCCCGACCCCCAAACTCCACTTTTTGACGACAAATAACTATGTTGTAGTAAAAATTCTATCTTAACTTTATGGTGGCATGAAAAACAAGTAATATAGAAGAGGTTAGGTTAGGAAAGATAAAGGTTAACATAGGAAAAATAAAGAATAGGTTAAAAAACGAAAATTTTTGAGGAACACTCACGGTAGTAGAAGAGATGGGTCGGCATACGGGGATGGAGGCTGGTTCCGAGGCAGAGGGCAGATTACTGCCCCTCAGGTGAATCACCATTACTAGGTGAATCACCATTACTAGGTGAATCAATATCACTGTCACTTACAGTTGTCATGGCTTCCCTGACAAATCCCTCAAAATCAACTTCACTATCACTATCACCTGCAGACTTTGTGATCTTCATGTGCTCCTTTATCTTGGCTGCATCCTTCTTTATTGTACGAATCGTAGATTCGTTGACGCCATGCTGGCGCGCGAGATCAACTTGGCGTCTTCCTTTCTCCAAATCTTGAACAATTTGGTACTTCAGCTCGTAGCTTAATGAACGTCGTGTCTTCTTTGGTTTAGTGCCGCTGGGTCCAGGTAAGGAAAGGTTTCTCTCTGGGGATGGTGGTCCGGCGGAAGCCATTTTACGGAACAATGGATGCGCGTTAACCCGGCGTGGCCTTGAGGGATGAAACTGCCGCGGCTAGGTCAAGCGTCGTCTCTCCTCCCTCCCTCCCTCCCCGGGGTAGTCACGTCATAATACTTTAAGCCAATTACAGCTAGCAGCAGAGGGGGGTAGGGCTGCATGGCCAATCACAGTCCGAGACGTCATATGACGTCAGTGATAACGCAACAAAGACACACACTGCGCAACCTTACCGCGCCGCTTACCCAAGCGGAGGGAGGAGGAGGGAGAGGCAGGCGGGCGGGTGGGTGGCGCGTGGGCAAAATCTAAAAATAGCATCCGAGCCGGACACTCACCGCGTATATGTGGAAAAAACCCGCGTTAAGTGAAAGTTCAGCTTTGGCAAGGCACCGCGTATATGCGAAAACGCGTTAAGTGAAAGCGCGTTAAGCGGGGTAAAACTGTAGTTAAGTTTCTCATCAACAATAACCCCGAGGAATATGGTAGTTTGTTCACGTTTGAGGACTGTATTACTAAGGTACAGGGGGTCCAAGTCTGGTTGTAAGTTTTCCTTCTGTGAAAGATCGTGTAGTGGGTTTTTTCAAGGTTTAAGGTCAGCTTATTACGTATTACCCAGGTCCTGACTTTAGTCAATTCAGTGTTCATAGTTCTCATCAAGGAATTGAGGTATGAGTTGCTGGCATAGAGATTACTATCGTCTGAAAATAAGTTGTATTTTATGAGTGTGCTGGAGTGGACTATATTATTTATGTACAACAAAGACTACTGGACCGAAAATGGAACCTTGGGGGACGCCATACAAGATTGGCGGGGAGTTAGAACGGTGATTATTATAGCAGATATACTGCTTCCTGTTGGACAGATATGAGGTAAACTAATTGCGGGACAGGCCCCTAACTCTGTAATGTTCATGCTTTGAAAGGAGGATGGTATGGTCGACAGTATCAAAGGCTTTACTTTTACTTTTTTTTTACTTTTATCCTCTTCACCACTGATCGGCTTGTTAGCCGCTTGGGCGATCGGTCACGTCTCTTTTCATTTAACTTCTTCACCAAAAGATCGGCTTGCTAGCTGCCCGGGCGATCGGTCACGTCTCTGTCATGCACTGTTGGCAAATACTGAGCATGCACCGGCTCCTGAATGTACCTGAACCCGCTCCAGTGTTGGTAAAGTCTTGTCTTGAAAGAGCTCACACTCGGTGCCGTCACAACACTCTCTGGTAGATCGTTCCAAGAGTTTACAACCCTCACTCCGAAAAAGTTTGCCCTCACGGTTTTCTGGACTTGCGGCTTCTTCAATCTTGAGCTGTGACCCCTTGTAGGGCGAGCGTCCAAGAATATACAGACTGTGAAATATCAGATGGAAAAGTACAACAAATTGTATTAGTGAAATGACTCAAAATGTATTCTTCCTGCATTTTTTGTATGTTACGCTCAGTAAGAAAGCTTTTATGTTTTTGGGGAAATTTTGTCAGGTTGCTGCTAAGGCCTACTTCAGAACTTTTATATTTATTGGTGGCATTTTCTGAGTCAAGGAGTTCTTGAGTCAAGGTTTATTCAATATAAGAGTCTTCTTAAAATACATCTTTCGTGTTTATGCATAAGTTTTGCTAAAATGCATCTTTAGTCTTTATGCATTGAATCAAAAAGTAGTCATGTAAATGGGATTGGAGGTAAGTACAGTACATTCCCTGTATAATATGAAGGATAGAAACAATTTATGTTGTGATACTCCACTTATAAGATTTCATTCCTAATTTCAGGAATATGGTAAAGAATACATAAAGGGGAATGTGGCTTATAATAATGGGGATTATAAGGCAACTGTTGCTCACATGGAAAAAAGTCTCGCTCTCTTCTATGATGCATTTGAAGTGTGTCATCATTTGTGTGATAACCCATTTGATCAAGGCTGGTTCCCTGATTTCATTGCTTCACTTGCAAGTGAGTAATACAGTTCCAGTTCCAGTTACTCTAGTATTTTAAGACATAAATACGAATATTTGAGCATTTCTTTTAAGTGAACCTTTTGTTGACCATTAGGATTGTAGAAAAAATTCAAGTTTGTACATCATTTCTGGTCTCGAATAAAAGTAAGAACATATGAGATAAAAAAATAGTATTTAATAGAGTGCCTGTATAGTATTTGTTGGGATACAGTATTGTGCTGTATGTACACAAGTTAATGATCAGTGATTAGTGTCATACAGTATACAAATTTAAAATTTAATTGAGTTATAATACATAATTATTAAATATCTGCATTCTCCATTGGTCAGAAAAGTACATGACAGTAACAATTTATTTCAGACCACTACACTTTCACTCTCCGCTGTAAACGACGATGTAGCTGGCGGCTCAGCAATCTCTTTGGGGAAATTATGGATGACTTCTTCTCTTCTTATTTCAATTATTTACAATATTCTTATTATCAAGGTTAGTGAAATATGTCCTGTTGTAGAGAGAGATAAACACATCATGTGTCTCAATATATTTCCCTAGCTCATGCTCCTGAACTACCCTTCCTGTATCATCATCTGGAGGAAGGCATAGGTAAAGTGCCATAACCCTTAAAGCACCCTTGACATTGACTTAACAAAAGAATGTGATTTAATTTTAATTCAGGCCCCACCAATGCATCCCAATCTTCAGGGCTAGACATTCATGCCTTGGCACAGTCTGGGTTAAGTTGGCTTCCATACCACCACACTGGTGGTATGAACAAATAGAAATGGTTGTCAATTAGAATAAGTACGTGAATTACATTTAATATCATCATGTTCTCTTCATGTTTTGGAAGTTTAGTTGGTGTAGCTCCCTCTATAACTGTGGTGATGGGAAACCTCTTGTGTTACTGTAATAAACTTTCTTTGTTTTGCAGTAGGTGATGTTAAGAAAGCTTGTGAAGCCGTAGAAACAGCTCTTGCTGTAAATCCTAACGATGAAGTACAGATACGAAATAAGCAGTTCTACGTTACAGAGGAAGGAGTGAAGGATGACTACTTTATTCCTAGGAAGGTATTACTTTTATTAATATTTATGTTGATCATCCTAACTATATATTTCACTTCTCTACGTAAAATTATTTAGTCTGTGTGATTTGTTGCATCAATCCCGGTGTTTTATAAACTTGTTTACTTAAGAAATGGAAATGAAGTTAAAGGAAAATGGGCTTGTGATCTAACATGAGTTCAATAATGTGAATTTTCCTTCCATATTCTGTACTACTGTATATTTGGAGTTTTGGTCTACAGGTACAGTAATTTGCATCCTTGCATCTCTGTGGCAGCTGGGGGTCATGGAGCCTTGTGGTCAGCTCCTTATTGGTATTCCTACACATGTGATTATCTCTTTGGACAGAATGCTGTTGCCTTTATGAAGATTCAAGAATTTGAAGAGCAGCTCATGCAGTTCATCGATACCAGTTTTATATCCGTGAATGATGATGCCTTCTTGGATGAAGATGATGATGATATTGAGGTGAGTAACCACACTGTTAAGTTTTCTGTATATTAAGCATGTTGGGTTAATAATCTGTTTTAGCTGTGTAGAATAAGCCTATAAATAAGCTTTCCGTATAAATTTATTGCTGGTGTGGGACATCAAACGTGACGATTGACTCTGTTCTCACTTTGCTAGATGGAAATTTTTAAGCCATGAAACTAATGTGATGGGTCATGTTGTTATGTTGTTATTCTTAGTCATTCATGCAGGATGAATGAAACCTTTGGATTGAATTGGTTTCATTGTGGAGTTTATGCACTGAAAAAAGAGGGGGGATAGAAATCTTGAAATCCCATATTATAACTAACAAATAATCCATGAGACCATATCATGCTGGATAGACTCTGCCAGAACCTTAAGTGCAGTATCTTGTGGCAGGAATTTGGTTATTACAAAACAACTGCATGTCTGTGAATAATCAGAATCTACCCACCCACCAGATTGAGGTTTAAAGCCAGGTAGGTACTTGAAAGTCACTTAGGAAACGGATTGTGAAACTTAGGGTAAGTTTCTGCTTCTTTACTCATTTGGTCATGTGAGATTTTAAGGATTAACTCAGTTCCTACTTGATTTAGGAATTTACTTGGGGAGGTAATAGGGAAATCTGCATTATCCACTAATTGTTATACTGTATCTACAAAAAGTTATTACAAGGATTCAGTCCTTTTTTAATGGCCTGGTGAAATTTATGAATGACCCATGAGACCAAAAGCCAACCCAGAAAATGGGAGAATATACTGTGTGAAGCCAAGAACTTATGCTTAGTTGTAAAACTTGGAGACAGATGTACTACCCATCCAGAAAGTGTAACTAATCTCCAAATAGGTCAAGAATAACTGAATGTGTTTCCAATCACTTTGCATTTGGATTCCTGTAGTTCTTAGCTAATGACCACCTTTCTTGTGTAAGAATGAAAAAAATCAAATTTCTTGCATGATTGTCAGCAAAGAAAGATACCCGATAACTACTGTATGTAAGTTATACTCTGTAACAACGCACTGAGTCATGTGATGTTTAGGAGTTTCATGAAGCTTTTGTCTTTATGGCACGAGGGAAAACAATCAATTTTCTTTAAAGTGTTTGGTTCTCTAAAATTACTGTAATTAATGTTTGATATTAGGATTCTCCTCTTCACATTTTGTTGTAGTGGGAATTGAGATCTGAAGTTAATATAAAACTTTTTTATTTTCTTAAGGATATTAATCTTGATGCAGTTTAGAGATTTTGCCAATTTGTATATCCATTCTGCTAGTTCAGACCAATAGTTCATTCACCCTGCATCAGTACAGTACAGTTGACTTAGAATGTCAGGATTACTTAGTCACACTAGTTTGATGGTCAACCTAGCAAGGTGAGAATAACTATAGTACAGTAATATCTCCGATAGCCGGAACTGAAATTTTCACGGAAAAACGTTCCCAAAGCCGGAATTTTCCGGAAAATTCTGACTTTGGGAACAATTTTCCGAGGGGCACATTTTCCAGAAAATTACGGGGATGGGGAGTTTTCTCTGGGTTTGACAGATGAAAATCAGGTGCATTTTCTGGAAATTCCGAGAAAACTTTTCCGTAAGCCGGAAACTTCCGGTGATGATGGATTTTTTACCAGGTTCGAGAGATGATGTAATGGGCAATTTCTGGAACTTACAAGAAATTTTTTCCGTTACCCGGAAAATTCCGGGGACGAGGGATTTTTTTCCAGCTTTGAGAGTCGTCTTGTTACTCGGAAATCTCTCATTACCGAAAGTGCTCTGCACCAATTGTTCCGGCTAACGGAGATATTACTGTACCTGGTTCATGTCTTTATTCTTCTCAGCCATAAGTGAAACTTCACAAAGTTCTTTCTTATACAGTAGATATTTGTGTATTTGATGTTAGTGTAAACATCAGAAGTTTAGAATTAATGAAAATGATTTATGTGGTTAAACTTAATGAATCCCACAAAAATGATATAATAGAGTAAAACCTTTTACTTATCATTGTAATATTAGTTACCTACCGGTATTAGATTTGTAAGACATTTAATTTTACAGTAGGAAACATCATGATATACTGATAAGATATTAAGACCCAGCTCACACTTTCCTTGTGTCACAAAATTGAAAAGAAGGTTGAAAATGCTTTAATTTTTCCCCACATTTCTTAAAATGTCTTTGGTGAGTAGATGGCATAAGTATTGACAGAAGGCTTGTTTTACCTATGAATTATTTGCAGCAGGAAACGGTGTAATGCATCTCTGAATGGCATATTACTGTGATTGCTGAAGCTCAACATTGAATGACTACTATACATCACCATGACTACCCACTTGGCAACTGTGGGCAACTGTACATTCACATTCTTTGCCGTAAGTGAGAAAATGAAATATCTTCCTGGAGTTTTCACATATACATCACAGAATGGTTGAGCCATTCAACACACTTGTGGAGCCCATAAACAGTTGGGAGGGCTGTGGAACCTGGAAAGGGGATGCCAGTGACACCATTCACTGTGTTGGTTAGTCAGGTTTTATTATACTTTGGCCAAAGCAGAGAAGATACTTCATTCTCTCACTGTACTTTATTACTGTTTACTGATACCCATATCAGTTCACCCCAGCATACAGATTCACTGATATTCCTCTGAGGATACATGTACAACACTACCAACAGTGAGACCCATTATAACAAATACTTCTATGGAACACCTGTATAATACAGTACAGTACTGTACAATCGGGGTCAAAAGTTTGCCCCCTCCCAAAATGAAGCAACATTGACCTGAAATGAGATAAAACAACACAACCGCACCAGACGTCAACAAGTTCGGAGACTCATTCCCGTGATTCAGGTTCAGTGTGAAGAGCAAACTTTTGTTTGCGACCATACACAAGTTGTATCGTAGGTCTTCAAGTACAAACTGTATTGCTGTATTCTTGTACACAATATCAGCACCAGTCATCAGTAATTGCCATTTTATTCTGTAATTTTAGTATATAACCTGAAGCTTCCATATACAATGACTGTACTGCCCCATGACCTTCACTCAGCTGTGTACCTGACTGTCGCAGAACTTATAATTTTGTCCCAGATGGTCAGCTGGCAGGAGCAGCTTCCTTAGACATAAGATAACCAGTCACTTTACCTTTCAGAAAACTGAGACTGAGACGAGCAGTGAGGTTTTGAGTTCCAACAGCAGCTTACTTGGGAACAAGATAGAAACCACTAATGTAATTTTAGGATCACACAATTCCTTGAAAGAAGATTTGTAAATATTAAGCACCTAGTAATTTATTATGTATAGGTCAACTTGATACTGAAATTTTTGAAAGGGGGTTGAATTAGGTAAACAAGATTTGATGCAATAATTTGGTATTTACAGGAGAGAATATTCAGCTGCAATAAACTTGGCAAAACTTAGGTAATGTTTTGTATTAAGCCATAAAAGGATTTGCATTGGACTCATGACGACTATTATCTTTCTTTTCTTATTTCCATTAATATGTAAAGTTATGCATGGCTTATTGACTCAAGTTTTTGTCAAAATATTTGTGATTTTGCTCACCATCTCAGTTATGTGTAAATATGCCTACTAATTAATCATCACATTGCTATTGGTGCATTGCTTTTCTGTAATACTGTAATGCTCATTATGTACAGTACATTTAATCTGAATTTGATAAGAATGATAATCTAATTAATGTCAAGATGTGTCTTGGTTCACGGGACCATTTGCAAAAGAATAATACTTTCTTGAACTAACTGAACTACTGATGAGCATGGTGCTAACCTAATGATCTCAGCAGAATTAGTGGTTGTATGGTTATTTTTACTTTTGTGAATTGAAATGCATGATTGGATACTTGGTAGATATATCAGGTTAAGATTTATGGCTGATGTACTGTCAGGTGTTTATGTGTGTTTTCAGTGTTTGTTCAGTCTAATGATTTGTATTTTTTTACTTCATAGTTTTATGAACATGTACCAGTAATTGTATAATAAAACTAAAATGTTCAAATCATGCATTTCCTTTCAACCCATATTTCACACTGAGGGAACTATACTGTTCTTGCATGGCCTAAAACCAACTCACAAAGATTATTTTGCTTCACACAATTAACATCTTCAATTTTGTGATTTCATGGTTATAAATTAATGTCTGATTTATGATTCAGTGACTAAACTGTTTTGGAGAATTTTTTAACAATGATTAATAGAAAAATTAAAGTGCTTAATAACTTTCACTGATCTGTCATGTCGTGTTTTTAAATGCTAAAGCTAACAATCAATCTATTGAGCACACACAAGCTTCCTTGGACCTAAGAGAAAAGGAGTGTGTGAAGCTGCTCATGGGAACATTACTATGAAGTGTTAACATGATTTTAAGCTGAGAAAACAAGGCCTTTTAACAAACATTGATATTTTAAATATAAAATTACTGTATTTGGGTTAGGGGTTACTGAAGTTTGACATTAAAAAAATTGAATGCAGAAAGTTAATATTTATTAAGATCAACAACAGTAATGGCTATAAGTATACTGGAGGTATACTGTACCATAATCTCTTATGTTCTGGGTGGTGGCAAGCTATAAATAAGATCTAGTTCCCTTAAGGTCCTAACAAGAGCAATCTTGTGTGTTTGGAAAGGATACAGTAGTTAATCATGTGTGGCAATTATAGTCCATGGAAGCCTCACTCAAGGCTGTTATATTAGCCTTAGAAGAATCTTTACCTAGCTGTGTTGGATATTAGAGGCTAGTTACAGTACCAATGTTTATGCCCCTCAACTGTCTTGTTAATTCAGACATTGTTGCCCATTCTGGGTGTAATTCTTAGATCATATAAATTGAAGGGCTTTATGTTAGACCAAATGTAATACAGTGGTCCCTCGGTTAACGAACGGTTCGATTAATGAAATTTTGGTTCACGAATTACCTCCCATAAGGATCTTCAATTCGGTTAACGAACAAAACTTCGATTAACGAAATCCTTACGAACAACACGTTTTGTTGTGAGCATCAGCTGATGGGCTAGTCTGCCAATTCAGTAATCTGTTCTATGTTTACATTCGTTTCCAGTTGAGTAAATATCAAGAAAGTTGTGCTCTTTAATATTTTTGAAATTTTTTTATTTTAAAATTATTAGTCATTTCAAAATTTAGTTAACATATTGATAATAAATGCAGTACAGGGAACTAGTTTTTTGTGCGCCCATCAGCCGCTTGACTCAGCCACTAGGCGTCAGTTTGGCTTTGTTGACAGTGGAGTGAACATCGATTTTGTTAGTGTCTTGAATATTTTTGCATTTTTACATTGAAATTATTGATCATTCTGAAATTTAGTTAACATATTGATGATATAGTCAGTGGTGGGCATGGTTCCGCTAACCGCTAATTAGCAAAGCTAACTTTCTCGTTAGCGGATTAGCATTTTCGCTAACTTTGGAAACCATTAGCGGACTAATTAGCTTCAGCTAAATTTAGTTCCTCTAACTTTACATCCGTTAACAAAACTTATACATGTTTGTTACTGTCTGTTGTAAGCGTGTGACGCCGCGACGCGCGTCTCCAACAGCCAGTCAGGCACGCTTGGCTGACTGCGTGTTAGTACGTGTAAACGTGACAAGCCATGATTTGTCTACGTATAATTTCATTTCTCATTTATTTGTTAATTTAATTAGGATTTTTTTGTGTCAACATATTTGGTTATGCTAAGTACTGCATAAGTTCATAACCAGGATGTCATCCAAGGTGTGCGCCAAGCAAAATTGTCTAAAAACTTACTTTTCATTAAAGTTTAGAGTTTTCTGTTTATTTACATGACTAAGACCAACATGAATAATGTATGAGAATGCAAATTAATTATTTGTGAAATTGTGTACAGTGTACACCTTGATAAGTTGATCATCATCTGATCTTGGCATGATGCTATTTGCTACCTATGCTATACAGTACTATAGTTTTTGGATTCGTTTAATACTTTCTGTCTTTTCGTACAGTAAGTAAAGATTATAAAGTGTATGTTGAAACTTGATTGTAAACTAATGTTTAATTTCATTTGTTCATTTAATTATTTGTGTACACCTTGATCATCATCTGATCTTGGCATGCTATACCTTTTTGGAAAGCTCTGTCTAAGCTTCAAGACAACATATGAAAATTTCAGCTCTCTAGGTCTGATTTTAAGGGTTTTAGAGCAAAAAAAAAAAAAACTAAATTCATATAATAAAAGTTAGCGGTTAGCGTTAGCTTCCGCTAATTTTTTTAGCTGTTTAGCGGTTTAGCATTTGCGAAGTTAACTTTTTAATTAGCAGATTAGCGGTTAGTGAAGCTAACTTTTCGTTTAGCTGTGTTGATTTAAATAAAATAACCTTGAATTACACCCAGTGAACTTAAAATTTTATTGACGAAATAACTGCATCAAGCATGGGTCCCCTGAAAGGTGATTTCTCCTCCATCCCCACTTCTAATTCCCATCATCATCATCAATCAGGAACCTTCTACATACACACCTCAAAATAAGTGTACTTTACTGCATTTTTTTTTTTACTTTGTATGTACTTTTCTGTGAGCTGGAACCAATTACCCAATATCCCATTGAAACAATGGGTTCGGTTAACGGAATTTTTGGTTAACGAACGACTCTGTGGAATGAATTGTGTTCATTAATCGAGGGACCACTGTACTGTACAGGGTATTCGAGTATGAAGAAATGTACAACAAAATTAGAAAAACAGACAATTAAATTTGGACAATTATATGTGATATGAAAGGAAAATAAAATATTTATGTAAACAATACACAGTACATGCACTGTATAGATAACACAAATCACAAAACTTTGAAGCTTTAGATACAACTATACAGGGAGTTCTGCAGTGACATCTGTACAGTACAGGTTGACAACCCTTTATCCGAAATTACGAAAACTGAAAGTTTTTTGTGGAACATTTTTTTTTTTTTTTTCACAGGATTAGCCCACCCAGGCAGATCACTGACCCACATTAGGCCGGGGGCGAAAATGTAATAGTAATAAAAATAATTATTCATAGTAAATACAAATTTTAATAAAAAATACACCAAAATAAAATAATAATAATAATAATAATAATAATAATAATAATAATAACAATAATAATAAAGAAATACAAGAATGAAAAAAGATAAAAAGTGAGAAACACGACCTAGACCTATGAATTATTATTATTATTATTATTATTATTATTATTATTATTATTATATTTTGGCCCCCCAGGCCCAATGTGGGTCAGTGACTTGTGCCCGGGTGGGCTAAAAAAAAAACTAACCATTCTGAAAACGGAAAAATTCCGAAATCCGAAATGCCTCTGGTCCCAAGGATTTCGGATAAGGGATTGTCAACCTGTATTGACAAAGTTGGTCAGGTAGAAAGGTTGTTACATATTTAAAGCTAACCATTTTAGTATATTAGTACTGAGAACTGTCATAAGTAACGTGTTACAGATCAAAAAAGGCTGTTGTAGAATTCAAAGGAAAAATGCAGATGGAAGGTTCATCTGGCAGTGATGATCATTGAGGAAGATTCTGAGGCTGTGACCATGAAGAAGAGAAAGTGTTTGTCCACAGCATAACATATTTCATGACAGATTCAGAAAGATTTGTCATTTTCATGATAACAGATTTAATTATATAGTATACCATATTAAGTCAATTATAAACAGAGGGTCTACTGGGATATGAAATTCACTGTCATGCCTATGCTTAATAATAAGGTTTGCTAGTTCAAGTTTAACAGGTTTAAATTTCTTCAAAAGTCAGAAAATACACAATTTTCTTTTTACCTGTACCCTTTCAAACCCTTTCCTACATAATGTTGGTCAACCAGAAACAAGAACAAATACTATACACAAACAATTTCCCATCATTTATTCATGATTACTGCTATAAAAGATGTATTCTATTATGGTGCTTCTCTTTCACAAGGTCCAATTTGTATTGCCCTCTTTGCTTCAAGAAGGCAGCAGTACATCCTTCCCCAAATCACACAATGCCATGCTCTCATGTCATTCACAAACACTGCTGCATCCTTGATATCCATCCCCTATACTTCTAAGAGCATCCTTCACCCCATCCTTTGATCTCTTTCCTTCCATCCACCTCTGGCTTACATTTTATTTGTCACAGATATTCAGATGATGCAGGATATTTGAAGAGAGTGCATGAGAATTGCAAAGGATGGTTAATGGATTTTAAACGCTAGGAAGAGTAAACTAATCTGAGAGGAAGGGGTTTGATAAATAGGGTTCTGATAAACTATACAGAGCATAACACTTTTGATTGTCGGACTTGATTGTCACTTGTCCTTAAAAAAGTAGTCAATCATCACTATCAGACAAGTGTACACGCTCTGTATGCTGGCTTCACTGAAAGTGACGGAATAAATACTCCTCGACCCCAGAGATGCATGAATGACCTAAGTAACCATACTGTGACATACTCATTAAGGACTTGGGGTCAAAACATTGGAAATAGATATTTACCTACTTGTCCTAATGCCTTGAATATGTTTAATTTGTTTTACATCCCAAATTACTTGCCTCCTGCAATTATGCTAAGCTGAATTTTGGTGGTTTTCTGTTATTCTGGATATAATAAATTTATTACACACATTGATTCAATTATAATTTGCAGAATATTGTTATTTCAGTTGGCATAACATATAGATTGAAGAAATTGGACTGCAAAAAAATGGAATACAGTTTTTAAAAAAGGTTTGGCACTGTAGAGGAAAATGGTGTTTTGTAAGAACAGTATGGATAAATGTAATTACAATCATTGTCATGCACACAAAGACCTTAGCAGATGAAGCACAGTAATGCATGACAATGTCGGCATCAAGAGTAGTACGGCGGAGGATGAAAGTCAGGAGAGAAGAAGACACAGGAGAAGGGAGATAAAAGAGGTGGGAAGCATCATTAAGGGAAGGAATTTATACTAGGACATGAAGAAGGAACCAATGAATAACATAAACCTTCCTATATATAATGATGTGCTGAAAATAAATACACTAAATTGTACTCATGTTGTGTATTTGCCAGTGTGAAAAAATTTTGCTCAATCAAATATGACCCCATTTCTTCTTGATAACACTCTCATGTCTGTACAGTACTAGTAATATTAAGTTGATATTTTGGAAACTGTGACATGCTAATTGCTGGCAAAAATTACATGCATGAAAAAATTCCGAGTGCCACTAAGAATGCTACACTGTTTTCTCTCTAAAATTTCACTTGCATAATTAACTAAATATCTGTAACAATTACATAATCTTCTGTGAGGATTATCAGTCACTCACTGTCAATAAATTTATAAGTATTTTATCCCATCAGTTAGTTCCTGGAATTGAGGCAGGGTGGCAGAATTAGTAGTAACCCAACAAACAATAACTGTGAAAAGTCTACCTTAGCAAGAGCTGCATGAAGGCTTCTATTCAAGTACGTCTCCATGTGTCCTTAGGTCTAACTGACAGTACCTGGGACTCCACCTTTCTTCTTGACATTCTTTCAGCTTTCATCTGACACACCAAAAAACAAAAAATCTCAATCTTTGATGCAGCAGATATCAGAAAAAGCTCGAGCCTTACGTAAACGAGCTGTGGCTCAATTCAAGAGTGTGTCACAGATGGGGATTCGTGTGGTGCAGACGGAAAAAGAGCTTGGTGGAGAAGGGAGGATGGTTGCAGACGGCTTTGCAACACCCATTGAATGTTTGGTGTTAACTGAACTAACTAAGGTAAGAAAATGTAGTTTTCAAACTTTCTGTTTCTGAAAGATTGTGATTGAAACATGACCCATAAAACTGGTACTTGGTTGTTCCTTTGTGGTCACTCTGAGGAGCATATGTTTCAAAATACCGTAATAGATACAGAATACTGTACTGTATTTGGATTGAAATAGGCAATGCTGAAGTATGGAGAAGTTCTTAAAAGATGTGATCCATGCAAAATATATGCAAGTACTGTATGCCTTACTAGTCAGTGACATACAGTACAGTAGCTGTTGGTTTGTTTTGAAACTCTTGCAACTCTCCCCTTCTGCTGTTTGATATGATGAGTGGTTCAAAGTGGCTGAATGAACTGTTGATGTAATTGAGAGTATAGTGTATGAAGCTCAATTTGCTCATGAATCCCTCTTCATAGCTTGAACCTGAAGGCCTCAGATAGAAGTTCACATATTTACTTTAACCTCTCTCATGACACCAGCAAGGAGGGTGGGTTCAGGTCATGATCATAATACCTTTGTTCACATGTAAAAGTAAAACACAAGATTTTCCTCTTTTATGTGACCAAGATGATTACAGAACTGTATAAAATTCTGATTATGATTTTTGAGACTGCGTGTATAGTAATTGTAAAAATTCTTGTAGTTAAACCATGTGGTAGGTACTGTACTTGTCATATAAATCCATAATGACAAGGATCATGTAACTTCTCAATGTTGGAAAATTCCATTTATTAAGAAAGGAAATCTAAAGGCATATCCACATTATGTAAAATTATAAAATCTTTCAAGTTAGTAAAGGAAAATGTTTCCTTAAGATAGTGGACTGTACTGCCAATCTAAAAAGCATCGAGAACCCCAAGGTCTGATGGAATAGAAAATGAGCAATAACCAAAGACACGTTAGTTGGGCTACGTTGGTTTTCGGTCAATCTTTCATATTCTTTTGGATGTTTGAGATCTTGATACTTTTTAGATAATGGAATGTACATGATATTTGAATAAGAACTAGGCAGTGATCACAGTGTCTGCCTCTTGAAAGTTTCTGAGATTACAGGGATATACTTGTACTGTACAGTATATAATGTTTTCAGGAGAAGCAGATGTTTAATACAGTATTCACTATTTGTGAAAATTCCATGTTAGGTCTGATTCTCAACTATTTGCATTTCATCTTAGGATATTTCTCAATCCAAAATTTCATGTCATTATCCCATTTTTTCTCCCAGAACAACAGCTGAACAAGACTTAGTTATTAACCTAACAATTACTTTCCTTTCTTCACAGATGCTTGGGTTAGTTGCTAAATAAAATTACCGGTTGTTACCATAATCTCTCTTAGTTTCGGAAAAAAAAATAGTGTACATTTACCCGGTATGTATGGCAGGAATAGATAGCTCGATTTAATGGAAATTATAAACTGTTTCTCTTTCTCTCTCTCATGTATTTTTCTTGCCACCAGATAGCAGCAATTGAGGGAGATGGATATAAACAAAATTCTTCTCCACATACACAATCTGAATATTTTCAAGGAGTTACTCTAGGAAGGGCAGGATTGGTAAGTTCGTTACTCTTAAGCACTGTACAGTCTTCCAAAAGCAACTATCAGTTCATCTACATGGATATTACTAAGTGTTGCTGATGGTGAGAGTCCTGCAAGGTGACCTATGACTTTCTGAAAGCAACTCAATATATTTTAGTTTTAACCCTTTCGCGTATCATGACGCAAGTCACGTAAAATTACTGGGTAACACTACTGTATTTGCATCCGAGGCGTTAATTGCGTCATTAGACTTAAAACAAGTTCGCCCCCCAAAAGTTTTCAAGATAATTGCATAAAATTTTTGTGCATCGTAGATGACTGCATGATCTTGCAAGGGAAGCTTCCAGAAAGTGCCAAAGCATGAGTGGAGTTCTGCTGTCCATCAATTTCCTTCTGCCAGTCATGCTGGTAGGTCACATTTGTCTCTATTTCCTATCCCACCCTCCCCACAATTAGTTGTCAACAAATTCTAAATCCACCTTTGGAAAGGTCATACATTTTCATTTTTATAACTATATGATTCCTTGGTGGGTTTGTTAGAAAATATTCAAGATATGATGATTGGAACACAACTATTTATTCTTTTCTGTTTTTTTTTTCTGCTTATATTAAAGCCAAAACAATAATAAAGCCAGTGATGTATAAATCATGCAAAAACAAATTATTGTGGGATAAATTAGCAGCAGAATGAAGATGACCAGACCTCAAGTGAAAAGTTCGGTATGATTTTTGTCGTGGTCACAGTAACTCAGAATCTTATTGTGTGTGCGAGAGGGTTAATTAACCATTGTGCTTGAAATAAATTGTTGGTTTTCTGGCATATAATGATTTATAAAAAAATTTCATGACACTTTAATGATAATACTGTACCTATGAAGGGTCCAAATAAAAACTTCCTTTACAGTAATGTAAATCACAACACACACACAGCCTCACACACACACACCAGATTCTCCAGAACACCTGCAGTAACTGGATGACTCATAATCCTGTACAGTATTCAGTGAACAACCTAACAGTCACATACACTAAAATTTGGCAAGAATGAGCATTACCCTGAGGAAGTTATATTAAGAAATGAACTTGATAAATCCCAGACTGACTCTTAGGCATTTAAAAATGGATCTGGAACTTTAGGTTTTAAATCATATTAGTTATTACAGTACTGTACAGTACAGTAGATGTATGATACCTTGAATATGATGCCTTAACTTCTAACATACTTTGCTATGTATATTTTTAAGCAATAGCAGAACTCTTAAGTATTTCTACATAACTCACAGATGGTTCATGCTAAGTTGATTGCTGAAGAAGCTTTGGACTTAATTATAGACATAACGAACCACTGTCGTGACTACATGGAGAGATACTTCAACCTAAAAGAGCCATTATACTTTGACTTCACTCACTTAGTCTGCCGCACTGCTAAACCAGGTGAGATAACTGAAAATAATCTGTTGGATAATTATGTATGTGTCAGTTCTTCTGGGATGAGCCTATGCAACTTCTTCCTCTTCATTCATTATGTTTATGACAAGAATGTGCAATTATTCCTTAGTTTTAGTTCATGGAATCACATACAGTGATCCCTCGGTTAACGAGCGCCTCGGATAACGATATTTCGGTTAACGATTTACCTTCCATAAGATTCTTAACTTCAGTTAACGAGCAATCCCTCGATTAATGAGTTTTTTCGAGTCGACCTCAACATGTTTTCGCTTGCATTTGGCGGTCCACCAGCTGTAGTATTAGTCCGCCAATACAGTAATCGGTTTTATGGCTTAAATTCCTTACTATTTTAGTAAATATAAAGAAGTTTATACTATTCAATAATTTTAAAGTTTAATATTGAAATTTTTAGTCATTTTAACAATTATTGAACATAATTGAAGGTAAGGAAACTAGTTTCATGCGCGCCATCCAGCCTGGCAACACATCAAACAGGCGCCAGTCTCTCTGTCTTTTCAGTGGAGGTAACATCTTGCTTGAGACTCTCTTCAACTAAACGCTTTTTTCTGTGTTTGCAAGCAATTGGTCATTTTGAAATTTATTTTACATAGTGACAATATATAATGCAGCGCAGTGCTGATTTAAAGAAAATAATCTTGAATTACATCAGATTCAGATTTGCCCCTGAGGGGACTAGTTTATTGGGCACCCCCTTACATCCTGTGCAAGGTGAAGTGCAGAAACATTTACAGCACCCAACAGGGAAGTATGAAAAGTTCATACTTGCCTTTATGACACGTACATTAAGGGCGTAAAAGCCTGAAGGGTCATAGGTTCTGTCAAGTTACATAAAGTGAGAGAATGATGAGTGTGTGGGGGGAAAGTTCCCGGTACATTTTATCTGTTTACGGCAAAGAGTGGCAGGTCCCTAATAATGTCAAATGCCAGGCCTGTGACTAGGAGGAGGGTTGAATTACATTAAGAGAACTAAAATTTTATGGGTGAAATGGCAGCATGGGGTGACTTCTCTTCCACCCCAATGCCTTCTCTTCTCCCTTCTCCTCCACCCCCATTCTAATTCCCATCATCATCATCATCCAGGAGCCTTCTACATACACACCTCAAAGTAAGTGAGCTTTTCTACCCTTTTTGTTGAATTTAGGCAATTTTCGGTGAGCTGGAACCAATTACCCAAAAACCCATTGAAACAATGGTTTCGGTTAACAAGTTTTTCGGTTAACGAGCAACCTGCTGGAACGGATTGTGCTCGTTAACCGAGGGACCACTGTATGTAGTGTAGTGTGTGTCTGGAATCAATAGCAAGTCTAATTTCTTGTCATTCATTATGTGTGATCACCTACATTTTCTCCTAACACCACACTGCCATAAGATCTCCTTTCATTAGTCACATCATAACATCCAGCATCATATATCATCAGCACATCCCACCATACACCTCCTAACACCATGTTTCCTATCTGATCATGCAAGCGCATTACTTTTGCTTCCATGGTGTCCTTACCCTTCCTATCAAGTACCCCTCCATCTTCTTGTTCTTCCCTGCTCCCTCTACCATCCACCTGTGCATTATTCTCTTTTATAATCTTTTTATTTCCATTTTTTCATGATCATAACATAACCTTAGCAAACTTCAATCACTTTCTCTCTCAAGCACACCCTATTTTTCTCTTTTTCTTGTTCTTTTCATCTTATAGCTTTCTAGCACATAATTTAAGTATAATTTTATTCTTCTTTCTTTTTGCAATTACAGTCTTTGCTTCTCACCTGTACAAATATCATTACCTCAACTCTTCTCATATACTGTACATCCTCATCTTTGCCTCCTTTGATGATCTCTCAATACATTTCTCAGTGCACCTATTACCTTCTTCCACTTTCCCTCAGTTACATGGTCCCATTTGCCACCTTTACTGATCCACACAGTCTTCATTTTCTGAACACACACGGTTTTTCCCCTATTAATGTACACATTCCATAGGTGCCTAAATCCCTTCACTACAGGGATGCCACTTTCACTACTGGTATTTTATTCGGGTGACCCTGTACACAAGTGGGTTAACTTTGTCAATAATAACTATGGTATCTTGTACTGTTATGTACACTTACCTAGGTTTACTTAAGAAAATTATACTGCTTAAATTTTTGCATTTATTTTTATTCCCCCTCCTTTACTTTCCGCTGTTTCCTTAATATTGGCCTATTTTAGCATTTATATTGTCATTCTGTCCACTTGTAGAGTCTTACCATTCTTAACCCTTGCTATTAGGCTGTTTGACTTCTTCATTCATAATTTTTTCCTCGTCATACAGAGATGTCAGTAAACAGATCATTAACTGACCTCAGCCATGAAGTCCATGTTGACAACTGTATATTACAAGACTCTGGGGAATGTCTTAGAATACCACCTGCTTACACCTACAGGGACTACAGGTAAGAAGTTGTCTACTTAATATTAAAAGCTGTACATACACTTGTCTGGTATTTCTATTTACATTCATAATATTTTATCTTTTATTTCAGTGCTTTGTTGTACCTGAATGATGAGTTTGAGGGAGGTGACTTTATCTTCACTCATGACAGATCAGGACTGTCACATGAGGTATGTATCAAGTGTTGTGAACACGAAGAGTTAAGCACTTGTAGGGTTTATTCAACTTAATACAATGTTATCCCCCAAACAACAGAAATACTGGTACAGTATTTGTGATACAGTACCTGATTATATAACTACAGGTACAACATTGTCAACACACTGCATAATACAATACAGTAAAACCCCGCTTTACACGGTTTCACTTTACGTGTTTCCACGTTTACGCGGTATCCTGCCGAACATGGAATGTTCACTTTACGCGGTGTGTGTACCCTTTTACGCGGAGAGCGGCTGGCGGTCCTTTCGCGCCACGCCATTTTTGGATTCAAACCTCCCGCCATCCCGCCATGTTGGTTAAGCGGCGCGAGTAGGTTGCACAGTGCATGTCTTTGTTGCGTTATCGGTGACGTCATATGACGTATCGGACTGTGATTGGGCCAAGCATCCTTACCTCCCTCCCCCGCTAGCTGTGATTGGTT